TGTCAATTGGTCAACACACATTGCATAGTCAAAGTATGAAAGCTTTTCTTTGGCAATCTTGGCTTTGAGTGATATATTACAGGTAATTGATTTATTCTTCATTCAGGTACAGCATATATTAACACTGAAGGTTTATCTCTCTACATATCTATGACTTTCTTCTTCCTTTTTTTAGTAATGAAGAATCAAACGAAGGTTGAACAATTCATCTTGCTGGGTTTGAACATTGATTTGGATCTTCAATATATAATATTTGCAATTTTTCTGCTGTTGTATATGGCCACATTAGTGGGAAATGGAACTATTGTCATTGTGGTCTTAACTGAACCCCAGCTTCATGGTCCCATGTACTTTTTCCTTGGAAATCTTTCCTGCCTTGATATCATTCAGTCCACAGTAACTGTTCCAAAGATGCTACAAGGATTTCTAATAAAGTATCAATCAATCTCTTTCAATGGCTGTATGGTCCAGCTCTTCTTCTTCTACTTCATGGGTGGTACTGAAGGCATTCTTCTTGCAATCATGGCCTATGACCGCTTTGTTGCAATATGCAATCCCTTGCGCTATAGTCTCATCATGAAAAAAGAGATCTGTGTTCTAATGGTAGCAACTGCTTGGTCTTCCAGCTTTTCTCAAGCCTTGATGCATGCAGTGATGACTGCTCATCTACCCTTCTGTGGACCAAATCAAATTGAACACTTTGTCTGTGACATCAAGCCTTTGCTAAAATTGGCCTGTGGCAACATACACCTTAATCTCATAATGCTCACTATTGGGACTACCTGTTTTGTTATGGGCCCTTTTATCTTCATACTTATTTCTTACCTCTACATTATTAGTTTCCTTCTTTTAAGAGTTAAATCCAGGAGGGGTTGGCAAAAGGCCTTCTCCACTTGTGGGTCCCATATGACTGTGGTGGCTCTACTGTATGTTCCTGTATTATTTAATTCCATTCTTCCTACAATGGGTACCCCATCACAACGTGATGTGATAATAACAGTCCTTTATAGTGCATTTACCCCAGTTTTGAATCCATTTATCTATACACTGAGAAACCAGAAGGTTAAAATGATAATGAAAAAATTATTGGGGAAAAAAAGACTTTGGTAAAAAGATATCCTGGGAAAAATAACCATTTTATAATTGGGACACATCAGTACTTGATATGTTTGTACTTCATTCATTCATTCATTCATTTCATCCATCCATCCATCCATCCATCCATCCATCCATCCATCCATCCATCCATCCATCCATCCATCCATCCATCCAACCAACTAACTAACTTCTATGATAGTT